GATTTTTACCAAAACCTAATCAACTCTGCGCATTATCCCAGAGCATCTATGTACCAAGTTTCACCAAAATTTGATTAGTGGTTCTTGAGATAACGGTGGAACAAAAAAAGTGACATACATACATACATATCATACATACATACATACATACATACATACATACATACATACATACAGACATACAGACAGGGTAACTGCAAAGACTCCCTTTTGTGCTTCGCACACGGGAGTCAATAATGAAACATTCCAATACTGTGAGATAAAACAGGTAGAGATTTCATAAATACAATTCCTCAATTTGTCACTGACAAAGACTCGTTGCGTTGACTTAGAATTAAACACTAAACACATTTACATTGTTGTATGATATCCACAAAGTGTTCATCTGCCTCGCAATATATTTATACCAAACAAAATTACACAGATGAAATTAGCTTTTGTATAACTAAATTTTCAGTTGTATTTTTGACAAACACGAATGGTCTACCAAATACTAATACTTCTGGGATGTGAAGTCGTGATGAACTCGTTGAATTTGATATTGTTTGTTTTTGCATCTTGCCAGTGAGTTGAGAATTGTTACACAGTAACCCTGCATATATTTACAATGTCTGCGTGACCACTAGAGCCCCAACAGCACTTGATAGTAAGGGAGAATTATTACTTGTAACCAATCTCCGGAACTTCAAATGCATTTTAGTCGCCTTTAAAGCCCAAGTTGCTATTTTCACTAGATTCATCCTCACTTCTTTTTTACAAAAACGCACAATTAACATAAGTTTCTCTCTCACACGTTCTTATATGACTTTAAATATCGGCACCATACGCGGTCTACTATCCTGACCGTTATTAAGCTTGGACTTGAGTAGTTACCATGGATATTATCATGTTTGTGCTGAAACACTGGACAATGCTGGAGTAGAACGTTCACTCATAAATGGTGTATATAATCCTGATTCGAAAACCCGACAAGTTACCGTGTCGTGTGGTTTTGGTATTTCCTAGTATAAGACCAGTCCTTTCTTGCACCTAACCAAAATGAGAACATAGGAGTAGGTCGAATCCTATCCAATCACTATGCATTTATAGACAAAAACTAGAACAATTTTTTTAAACAAAGGCTTGATGGATAATGTATGGTATTAGCAATCAAATATGTTAATTGAAGTTTCTGTGGATTTTTTCAATATTGATTTATAGTACATCTAAAAAAAGGTGACATGTGTATGAAATATGTTTCAACACATAAATATATTATTTTGTATATAAGCTACGTCATATAAATACGTTTATTTATTGTTTTCTTTCTTAACCAAACTTGACACTTTTAAATTTACGTTTTCTAGTTTCAATCACGTTTATAGTGAGTTAATGGAATTACTTGTTTTCATATTCAAAACAAACGACCTGTTATACGTAACAGGCCAATAGAGACAGTCAGTTCCGATCTCCAGAAACTACTTATCGTTTATTGTCGCATATTACAAGTCACATTATTTGCTGAGTTCATTAGTTACTTGGAACTTGAATTGCTGTCAAAACAACGCTGCACTGTTTGATACCATCATAGTTACCATCTGCTAAACTTTTAACTTTTGAGCAAGGATTTCTATCATCCAAGATTTGTATATTGTATCTTCATCCTTTACGCTCGTGGCTCAGTTTATTTGCTATTGTTCCAATCCAAAAAGAACATAGTGAATATTTTAAAAACAAGACCAGAATCTGATGTCACCTCAAACATACATTCTACGATGAAGATGACAATGTTGCTGCCTCGCAATAGCTGTGAGCATTGCACTATTAAGACTTGGTGATGCAAAAACATTCAAATACATAAAAATATCCAATCACATATTAGTGATATGGTGATAAACAGCTGCAATGTAATTTCAAAAAGAAATAATGTAGAAATCGTGTAATCGTGAATAACATGTATTAGTGCATGCACCTTGATGTCCATTACATTTCTATTTATGAAACTAAGAGAAAAGGTGAATATACCACATCGTAATCCTGTCCACGGTCCCGAACATATGCAAGAAGAGCCAGAACATGTACCATGTATGCACGTACCAGGTCCACATGTTCCTAAAATGAGAAAACATCATATTCATGAATAATTAATCACGTTACGTAATGTACATTCACCAAGGTATACTTTCCTATATTTAAGGTTTTATTTACTTTTAAGGATATCAAAAATTCTGGCTCTTAAGAAACGGACGGAATTAGGACGTACTATTGACTTACCACAATCATATCCACTCCATCCTGCATCACACTCACACGTGCCAGTGTCTGTGTCACAGTTACCATAGATACAGGCGTCATCGGACACACAGACATCTTAGATAAAATAGGGGAAACAACAATAATATAACAAAAATCAATTATTTTTATTGAGTGGTTGTGATTTTAATTGTGAATTCGTTCGTATGTGCGATTTATTGTAGTGATATTGGACGAATTACTATAAGGGGCTCACATAAGAGTCACTATAGACAGCACAACTATGTTGTGTATACAGAAAAGAGATGGTAATGCTGGATACAATATACCAGTATATACATTACACTGTAAGGTTACGATAGATATTTGCACCGACGCACTTTGTTGTACTGTAGTTAATTGGAATAAGTGTACCGTTAGCAGGCTGTTATGATGAATACGAAATTATGCGACTGAACTAGAATGTTAGAATTACGAATGTACCCAAGAGTTGCTGTCGGACTATACATTGACAGATGAAATATATGGATACAATATATTGTACCTACCACAGAGTGTTCCATTCCAACCCCTATCACAAAGACACTCAGTGTAACCACTCTCTTCTGTACACTCCCCATGCACACATGTACCATCCCCACACGTAGCTATAACATGACAACACACAAATATTATACTCATGTACTTTTCCCCTACATACGTACATACACCACTAAGATCTTATATAACGGCAATTACAATTACGTTAGTCAACAATTGTAATGTGGCATACTACCTGTAAATTCATCAAATTTGCCTTTAAAATTATTCTTTTAAAATTATTGATTTACCGTCTTCAACACATCAATAAGCAAGTTAGTTGGACAAAGTATTGATAATGTACCTTATGTCTAACTTTGAAGATTAATGAAATGAATAAGTATTTTACACGTAACACTGAACATCGAATACCAAACGCGTAGCACTTTATTATACCCCTTAAAGGCATCACCAATTTCCCTTTAGATTGCTTGGAAAATCAAAGATTTGAAACGAGAACGTGTCTTACCGCAATCGTAACCACTGAATCCTTCATCACAATCACACAGTCCGGTTTCTCGGTTACAGGTTCCATGGTTACATACATTGTCATCGTCCACCATACACCAATCTTAGCAAAATGTTTGTGAGGAAGAGAGTGAGAGAGAGAGCGAGAAATTGTCTTAAATAACCATTGTCTTAGATGATAATGATTAAAAGATGGAGGGCCGCTAGACGGCCGCTAGACTATTTGTTTTATAGATAGACCAGAAACTCACAGAAGATATACCTAGGTTTTTTTCACGGTTCTTCTAGCAACTGTGGTTTATTCGCCAAATTGCATCCCACTGGGTTAATTAAAAAAATAAATATCCTAGGTGCAGTCCGCCTTTAATGGCGACTGTTTTGAATACATCAGACGTAAGGAGAAGTTGATTTAAAAATGTATACAATTGTGTGGAAATGTGCCTATGCCAATACACTGCATAAGTGCAAAAACCCTAATATTCGAGGTATCTAACTATGGGTCAAAAGACAAGGAAATAGTAATATGGATATCAAAAAAGGGCTACGTGATATTATCAAATATTGCTAGTAGACACAAATATGGCATTCTATCAGATATAAGATCTAAACTCTACAAAAATTAGAGAAAAATGCCTCGCTTCTAGAAGAATAAAATTCGTATCTAGAAAAAAACAAACATATAATTTGATATAAGGATTAGTACTGGTCAAACAGTTTCCTGTTAATCATGAATTGTGAACGAGATGCCGAAATGAAAACAGCGAAATAACAGACTAAATAAAATACATAATTACATATAACATTTGGTTATTTGGTCACATGATACCCCTGAAACATAATATACAGTGCAACGAAGATAGTATTTACAATTTAGTTTGATTTGTTTTTGTAAAGCTAGCGAACGCTTTAATATTTTTACGACAATATCATTATTCTCGGGCCAAAAGTTTGTTTCTATCATAATTGCAAGAATCTGTTCGTGGACGTGTATACAAATGTATACGTCACCTATTTTATTCACAACTTATAAATGTTATAGTTAATGCACAATCATTTATCCGTTGTTCATTATGGTTAAAAATTGATTCTTTTGTGTAGAAATAAACCTACTATTATTAAAATGTCTTAAAACTATTCAATATTTTGAAATTGTAAACGTTGTAAATGTACTTTTCTTCATATCCATTAAAGCACAAATATTTCATACATTTTTCTAGGAATGGGCAGGAACTCTAATCATAGTCTACTTTGCAACATCGATTATGATGTATGTGCCTTTACTTCTCATTGTTGTTTAATGAACTATTCCCAACATTATTGGAACAGTTAGCATCAATGCAATGACTATGCAAAATGTCAATACACTTTTCATTATATTTTAAATCGTTAATATTTTTACCCAACAGCTTATAACTGTTTCCGTAAACAACAATTCATCAACAGTTTTGAAAACCGATATGCGTACCACCCTATATAACAGGGAGGAAATTTTTCATCAAGAGAAAAAAACAAGATGACTGAAGAGTAATTAACATTGAAGCAAAATGGCAGTGTAGTGTATACCTACTGCATCTATCAAGTTCCCATCCTTCGTCACAGGCACACTCTGTGTAACCACTATCAGCGGTACATTCTCCATGTACACATGTACCAGAACCACATTTATCTACCAAAATAAATTCAACACATGTATTTCTTCCTTATAATACAACCTTCGACCAATCAGAACGCATAATTGCACACTTTGTAAATTACATATAAACAAAACAACACAACAGCAATGTTGTTTGAAATACACATGTATGTAGTTTTTAACTTCTACAATATATTATTGTACATACAGAAAACACGTACCACACGTTTCTCCTATCCATTGCAAATCACAGACACAACTGCCGCCTACACACGAACCGTGACCACACACGTCATTATTAGTACACCCATCTGAAACAGAAAAGGACATATTAGAAACGTTAACAAATGACAGACACTTGCCTGAAAAAATAAAATAGCCACTTTTTTGCTCAATATTTCGATGTCACAATAATATATTGTTTTATGCACAATCCTGTTGCTACACAACTGCACATCGAATATGTGTGTGGTAATTTCTCCTCTCCAGTGCTTTGATGTGCAGACCCTCAAGTATCTACCCTATATTTTAAGTTTGTAATGGTCAATCCCTAAAGCGCAAGTCTCACCGCACTGTGTTCCAGACCACCCGGCGTTACAAGCACAGCCGTCAGTGTTTGCATCGCAAGAAGACGCATGTACACAGACTTGGTCACATACTGTAAGAACAAATACAATGTTTAATACAGACTGTTTTTATATTTGAGATTTGGACGAGTATAACATGACGTGTATGGGTCTAGAATTTGGTATAAATCGCGGTAATGTTACAGATGAGAACTCCCGGGCACGAAATGGCTTGGTACATACAATTGCTGTTTTTAATCATAGAATTCAACAAATATTTAGTTATGGACTGCAAGAACCACGTTTTTGCGTAATTATGATTTGTAATCAAATGTATTCATTAACATGTAGAATTAACATGATTATTAAAAAATATATATTTGTATATATATATATTTATTTATCTAACTACACACGTCAAGCAATCGACGTGTTTTCAAGCCATGTCTAATAAGTATGACATCACTCAGACACACGCTGAAACTAGTCACGTGACAAATATATGAATATGAATGGAGTGCATGCACTCATCTCATCAAACGTACGTGGGAATGTTGATTGCAGACATAACGAGCAAACTAACGTCAAAACTCCACCCTGTTCTTTTACAAATATCATTGATTGTCCATCACAGGTCACTGAACATTGACCATACATTGGTTCAGATTACACACACGATTAAACCGACTATAGAAATCCTTTTCAATTGCAGTACTATATAATATATAGAATGTACTGTTTCTTTTGAATATTGTTTATTTGGTTCTTGTAGAGAGAACAACAATAATTGTCTTCGGAAATTCTGCATTTATTTTGCTGAATTCTGAAATGATAATATTAGCCTAATACCACTCACCGGTAATGGTCAACGCCTTAGGCAATGATACCAAACACACTACGATGTACAACAGTAGACTCATCGTAAAACTATAAGAACAAACTAAAGTCGACACCATTACAATCAGTTATGTAAGCATTTTCATACATTGCTGTATAATTATAATGTATATTTAATTGCATTGTTTGAAGTCATAGATAGCGACAAGTGCATACAACTCTGGGCTGGGATCATCCGTGTAATTTATTATCTCGATGATATTGGTATGCCAAGTAAAACAAATAAAACAGACTGAAACTCTGGTAAAAAAAACGTGATATGTTCTCAACGTCTTGTCCCCAGAATTAATCGAACAGCTGCATTCTGCACTCCCTGTAATATTCATCTCTATTTGTGTTACGTCATACAGCAGGCTATTGCAATAATCAAGAACCAAGAAACGCATAAACAAGAATCTCTATAGTCTTCAATGATAAACATTTTCCAATTTGGGAATTTTTACGTAGGTGTTTAAACGGCGATTTAGTCACAACACTGACACGGTTATCCATGCTTATCACACCAGTTTGCGAACATAATCAAAGACTGGCATAAATAAACACTCAGTCAAATTCAACCGAGCTCGGATTATAACTTTGTTAAATTGACATGGATTGCCAATTACCATAATATCTGTGTGTTTTTTCAGAAATGAGCTTTAATTTGTTGCTGTACATCCAATCTTTAATATCCCTTAAAGCAGACCACAATACACAACTATCATGTGTGGTCTAATTTAATTTAGCTGTGAGAATGAATCATCTGTCTTTTACCCGTGAAACACGTTCAATCATAACTATTGCCAAAAAACGAGCAGAGCCATTTTGTTTACCAATAATGAGTGAGTTGCTTTAGAGAAATCAAGATATATTGAATCCAATCCAATCTTAGACTAACTGAACCATGTTCGGTCAACGTTTAGTAATTTGAATAAAACACACTTCACGAGGTAAACACACGTGTCTATACATGGCCATTGGATAACATGAACGTTGTTGAAGTACTGGATTACAGTGTAAAAAATGTCTGAATAATAACTTACCCCAAGTTTGAATCACAGGGCTCAGCAGTGCACCGTAATATAACAGAATAAATATATAGGGAGTAAAATAGTGATGTCACTAAGTATTATGTTAATGCATTAATTATTCATGAAGAAGTTAGATTCGACTAAACAAGTAAACAAAAAAATAAAATCACGACAGACATATTTATAACTTTCGAGGCGTTAAAATATGGTTAAGCAAACAACTTCCTTGTGTTTCTTTACAAATAACTAAAAAGCCACAGAAAAGTGACATTGTCGTTACCGTCTGCACACGTTGTTCAAATTGGATCTGCTTTACTATAAAATATTATAAGTCAGTGTTATTTTTAGTGACATCTTGTAATAACGACAAACGCTATTACACCTATACGACTTGCCTTTTATTATATGGCATACAAAAAAGCACAAAACCATTACAATGTTCATTGGAATTGTTGTTTGGTGGTTAGAGCCACAAAGACTAAATCGGGACCACGCCGTGTTTGTTGTTATGGAGACGAGCTCGTTTTCAATGGAGTCCTAGCAATTGATGGGGTGTTTTTTGGCAAAAGTACCACAGACAGATCAAATAACAATAAGTCGAGTAACAGAGTTGGGGTTGAATAAGACATCAACAAATATCTTAGTCCGTACCTTGTGAATGTTTTCCTTCGTTTACGTAACTAAACCATAGTGCAATGACACTATTTGTGTTTGTACAAACAAACCACTGCTAAATCTGGTCACAATGTTGACACCCAAACAACAGAACATTCACATTCACATTTCTAAACCATTGCATTAAAAATTGGCTTATTTGTGTTTTAGTTCAAAATTCTTATTTTGAGGCGACGTAAACTAACCTCAGGGCAGGGCAAATGTACCTTTTATGAATTGGCTAAACGATTTATTGTAATACCTAGATTATTTATTGATGAAGCAGTCAATTGATCAGTTATTCAGCTCGTCATAAACTGTTTTTCGATACTCCTGGGAGAACACGCCCACAAGACATGTCTTTTATAGCTGATTGTATGTATCAATCCAGACATGACTGCCACAATCAGAGTGATCATGACAACGATAAACTAGAAGTACTCGGAGAAACAATTTTGTGTTTAGATGGAACTGGGCAATCTGTAATTTGTAATAACATTATTTGAAAGCTTCTTTATATTTGCCATTATTCAGTTATAACTATTTAGTTGACTTTACAGATTACATGTACTTATTTTAGAGTGGTCTATTGCAGTGTGCATCCACATAAAATGATGATGCACTTTGCAATGATTGCAAATAATCGAATCTAGCATTATTCATGTTTATATGTTCGTACTTTGAGCAATAATTTGCCTGTAAGGTGTTTGTCACAGCTGCTGACGCATAAGGGATTAGATTTTCTCCTGTCTCAATCACTTTCTATCACTGTGGGTCTGCATCCATTACACCATGTAGGTATAATGATTACACTAACCGTCTTTTGGGGGTCAGAAGTTAGAAGGTGTGGCAACAGAGGTATAAACAGAAGGAGTCACAACTGGTTTAAGATCAAAGGTTCCATGATCATTTCCGTCGTTTACTCAGTGATTAAAATGTTTGCTTGATAATCTAGCAGCAAACACCAAGTTTATACCTCCATGGTGTGGCTAAGTTCATGTATGCCTACATTGGTGAAGCACATTGTCATGGATTTAAATTGTGAATGGTGTGTGTTTATATGTATTTGCCTATACTTATATTGAATTTACGATTAAGACCTTAGGGCAGAAGTTATATAGACCACATAATTATTACATTTGTCTAAGTGATGACTTATTTGATGAAAATAAAAGTGGTGGTGCCGCTTTGAGCTGTTCACTCATGAAATTGGCAGTATTATCAGGGGGAAAAATCTCTTCCCTCTAGGGTTCTCCACACGTGTCAGGGGGGAATCTCGTCTCGTCTCTCTATCGCGTCCCCTTGAGGTGCGGGATCGGGAAAGTCACTTAAGCCTTACAGTCAAATAAGACACACACAACGAAATACGTTTCAACTTTCGTCTTTAGTCGAGCACTCTATAAGACACAGCGCCCTGGGGAAAAATCCCCAAGACTATCGCAAATCTGACTCAAGACTCGCCCAAGACTGCGTCTCAAGTCTCGTCTCAAGACTCTCTAGGACTGGACTGCGTTTGTCCTGTGTACTCGCCAAGACCAACTCAAACAACTTTATTCATTTTCAAAACTCTAACCAATTACAAAACAGTATTAAGACTCTAAGGCGTGGCCTTCACACGTTCAACTAATCACACTAAGTACTGAACACGTCATATCTTTTGATTAATCGTTCACTACATTAATAACTACGAATACCAACTGTCAGAAATAGTAGTTCGAATAGCGACGGTTATCTCGTAATTAGTTCCAAATCACTGAGCCAAGTTCCGTCCAAAACTTCACATGGCCTAAACGGTGCCAGACATAACACAGCCATTCAGCTAATTAAGTCGATTAACAGATACGCAAAAACAATTTCATCATAGTATTCTGGTATAGCTTTAAAAGAGGGGGCAAGGTGGATAGCTGGTACAGGTTACAGGAAATAAAAAAGACATTTTACGTTTTTACAGGAAATAAAATGAACGTTCCATTTACAGTAAAATATAGGTTTTTACACTTTACAGGTAAAGCAAATTCCTAATTACATTTTTATAATATATTTGATAATTTGTGTTTAAGAATCAAAATTGGAAATTGCGTACGAATTACGACATTTAATGTGGAAATGTTTTATACGCTTAAAAAATGGACGAATAAAATAGTTGATTACATTTCACACCTTGCCCATATCTGCGAATTTACGTTTTTTATTTATTTAAATTACAATATAAAGTAAATAAAAACAGTTGATTACAATAAATACCCCTTGACGACCATCTTTAAATGTACTGGAAGATAGATACCAGACGATCAAAGTAGAGAATATTGTCAACAATGACTGAAACACCGGTATCTATCTTGAATGGTATATCATGTTATTTAAGCTTAAAAATTATTATATAGTATTCGTTACAAATTCAATAAATGGGATTTCAATTTCTCCAAGCTTTTTTATTTCATTTAATGACTTGACTACTGATAAAGTGTCACATATGATTTCTGGAATTTGTGACATGTTGCTTTTCTTGCAAGACAAATTTGATTTATTGTGATGCTGTCTACCACAACAGTTATAGACATTGTGTGTTCGGGTTCAATGTTCAATGTTCGGGTTCAATGGCGGGCATCAGTTGCAGTGTTTGCATCGGCAAGAAAACCCCGACTAAAATGCGATCATATGGTAGATTTTATGCATTTTACCAGATGTACATTTCGAATAGAAAACCCCAGTAGGCCTACTGTGTAACATCGGTAAATCGGGCGAAAAGGAAAACTGGCGAACCGGTAATTGGGCGAACTGGTAATCAGGCGAAGGAGTTCGGGCGAAGTGACTGTACCCCGTTTTAACCTTGCCAGTCAAATATCCCGGCTAGCAACTTGTATTTATGGTTATTTTTGTTCGTTTTACATAGTCAACATTATGTAGCTTAGATACTCTGCGAACTACTTCTTGGTTCTTTCCATGATTCCGCCTGCCAACATGCCAACATTTGCCGCCAAGCGTTAAATCCGAAGTCTGGTATGTAGACATTATTTGGTTTCCTTCTCGTTATTCGTGCCCTTGGCATTTGATTTGTTGAATCGCAGTCATGTTATGACGAACTTATGGTAATAAGGGGTTTCTGCACATCATATGTAACAAAAGGTTGTAATAATATCATTGACACATTCTCCCATGACATACAGTAGTGTACAGCCTGATCCGCTGTTTTGTTTTGAAGAACTTACCCCACTCAGTATTTCAAAACCATTTAGTCCACAAGGGCCGGTGCTGTTGTCCTTCTCTGTACTTGGAACCCGAGTTAATGGTTGGGTGCTTGTAGTTATGGTACCTTGTAATATTAGTCATTTGACAAGATCGGAACAACAGAGCTAGGT